CCCCAAAACCCCAAAACCCCAAAACCCCATAGAGATAAATTGGCTAATAATTAAAGATTTATTGAGTTTGAAGTATAATTTAAATCCAAAAATTTTATATAATTTTTTGACAGTTTGTTAGATAAGCATGATCAACAACATCAATCCCACAACTACTGAGAATGTTCCCGTTCATTCCAATATCAAAATTAAAATTGAACAAGACCTCTTTATCACTGGCTAATTCATGTCTCTTAGTGCACTCCAAGCAGCAGAAACTTTGGATAAACCTAATCAACTATCTGACTCCTAAGAGTTAAATGCTACTGAAAGAGTTTAGAGACCAATTAACAATAATGATGTAGTCTTCTTTGATATCACAGTGAATAACTAGTACTATGGACGCATTACATTTGAATTATATGCTGAAACTCCAAAGACCTCAACTAATTTCAAAGCGCTCTGCACTGGTGAGATGGGAGTTTCTTTGAACTCTGGAAAACCTTTACATTATAAAGGATCCAAGTTTCACAAACTTTATACTGATTACATCATTTAGGGAGGAGATTTCACTAGAGGAGATGGCAGAGGTGGTGAGTCTATCTATCAAGGAAATTATTTTGAGGATGAAAATTTCTACTTTGACCATTCAGGACCAGGTACCCTTGCAATGGTAAATTGCATAGGGAAAGAAAACACTAATACCTCTTAATTCTTCATTAGTTTGAGTCCAGAACCACTCACTCATTTGAATGGTAAGAATGTAGTTTTTGGTAGAGTCAAAAGTGGTAGAGAGATGCTAATAGAGCTTAATAAACTAGGTGATCCTGATTCAGGTGTTCCCAAAGCAGAAATTGTTATTTCTGATTGCGGGCTTTGTGAGAAACCTTAGCCAAAAGTTATTGAGACAGAATGCAAGGAAGATCAGAAGTTATCTGAATTGATGATTACTGATTTCAAGACTTAGATAGAAATATAAGAAAAGCTCCATTAAGCTGCTTAGAGTTTGATTAATAGCGGTATTATAAAGTAAGAACAATTTATGGACATTGATGAGAGTTGCAATGATGCCTCAAGAGATACACAAGATTCATAGATGCAGTGATGAGCTAGTTTTTAATGAAGAATTACAATACAAGTTTACTTTGATTTTATATAAGTTTGGATATATATTTTAATTTCTTTAATAAATAAGATTTGGCTTTTTAATATTCTTGATATTATCAAATTAAGTTTATATTCGATCGAATTATAAAGCATCAGCAGCATTTAAGACTTACTCATTCTTATTTTAAATTTTCAGGTCTCTTATTGCTTACTCAGATCGGTTGATTTGAACTGGTGCTGATTTTATTGCTGCTTCCTCTTTTTACGCTACTACTAAATCTCTAATATGCATCTTTATACAGCAGATCCTCTTGTAACTCGTGATTTAACAATTGTTAATTATTATTGCTTTAGAGCCGATATTTATTGCCAAATAAATCTTAGCTTGGAAGTTTCTGTCGAGGAGATTAGTGCTAATTGAATGTTATCCTAGAATTATCTAAATTGCTCATCATTTCAGACGATTCATGGTCTATATTATTAGGATCTTGTCCTTTTCTTTAGGTAATCTATACACCACTCTCACGATTTTATCTGTCTTTTTCCTTTAGCTTTTGAATAAAATTATCCACGAACTTGTATTACCCTTTAACATCTTTATTTCCTTTGGATGCTATCTATAAAAATGATTTTTAAACATTATAGTTTCTCATTTTTAATCTGTAATCAGTCTTGTAGAAATTACTTACCTATTTTATTTCATACTGATGATATGACCAGAGAATTATACCAATTATAATGAGAGATCCATAAAGTGCACAAAATAAAATTAAGGGTATTAGCTTCTTATAATTTTCATTGCAGTCTTAGTCTAAATCATCCTAAAATTTAGTAGCCATTTCCTGATTTTACTGAAATTTATTATCCTTTTTTATAATAATGTATACCGAAATATTAGTCATTTTGATCATACGGGGTTTTGGGGTTTTGGGGTTTTGGGGTTTTGGGGTTTTGGGG